GCGGTAAAATGAAGTAAAAAGACGCGAGACGCAACTAAAATAAAATCCAATCAAATTTTTCACGTTCGGTGTATAAAGAGATTTATGCACGTGCCGTCGGAGGCATTGATATTTTTACATCAAACGATCGGGTCGTATCATACAATATTTTATAGCGATTTACGAAAAAAAAAAGTTATGTTTATATGTCATATGATTATACGAAATGTTGCATATAAAAAACGCATAATATTTCACGCCACTGGAACAAGTGAGACAAAATGCTAAATAAGATGATATTTTCGTACACGTAAATGCATAAAGATGCCACGAAAAGATTAATGATCCGTTCTTAGGAACTCTTTAGTCATTTACGTCGTGCAAGATAACTTCTTGGTGTGACGTCTTTCGCAAATATTTTCAGATATTCAAATACATCATTATTTATTAAAACACAAATTCATAAAGATACAGCATCACCAGTGCATAAAGTTAGGATTTTGCAAATTACCGATCGCGAAGAGGAAGATCCTCAAATTAATGGAGTCTTTCTCGCTCATATTGATAATTAAAATATAATCGTAAGATAAGAAACTCGTATTAAATGGAATTACATAAAAGCGATGAAAAATACGCCAGCGTGATTGCCGTCCTCCAAGCGAGCCTAGACGTTAGATTAAAGCGCATAAAATTCACCCTCACCGTCCCGCCGTTCGCGTGGGTGCCCCGACACCCCACATAAACGGGGTGTCCTAGAAATCACAAAGTTCAAACTATAGGTATTTTGACGCATTTGAGGCCGATCCCTTTCATCCCCAGCAAGCATTTCGGCATTAGTTCAGGTCGAGACTGAATATATCTGACGTGTACAAAAATATGATATATCTCATGTCGTAATAAATTTTTGCGAACGTGTGTGCGCGCAAGGTCTTTTCGTCGAAACAACCAATCGCCATGTAACGCTACGGCAATCGCCATGTAGTCGTCTGCAGTACAACAGACTTTATCAATGCTCCTATGTCCTATTTCTTAAGCATAGTAACGTCGAAAATTTCCAATTAGAAGTGATATTTGTGCATCATGACTATTCGTAATTTGATAAATCGATAATGATTTTCCAAAGCAGCAACCGTGATGCGCGAATATTCAAAAATAACGGGCTTAATTGAAAATTTTCAATGTTGCTACGTTTAGGGAATGAAACAGCATTAATGGAATCTGCTGTACGAAAAAGGAATTAATTGTTCATACAATATAACTAAAATTTAATTACCAGACTTAATTTTTAGCTGTGGGAGCTAAAAAGTGTACGGATGAAAAATGGATGAATTAATTAAATTTCAGTTGTATTATATGGATAGCTAATTTTTATCCGTAAAAGCTAGTTTTTAGCTGCGGGAGATAATTCTTTTTCCCTGTATACGCGTTCCATTAACCCACTTCGCGTCAGGCTGCAAAAAATATTGAGATTCAAGAGATGCAAATATTGTTGATAGGGTAATTAGATCTCAAAGAATTAAAAATCAGAATTTTCCGACGAACAAATTTCTCCGGAAAATCGTTGGAACATCTACCTTGAGTGATACCTGGCGTACACCTGATGCATTATATCATAACCGGAATCGTAATTTTCAACGATTTAAACTATTAGCAACAGTACCTCACCATTATTTACTCAATTTTGCATTTGTTACTATTTTTAATTAACTAATTAAAATAATGATGCAATGAATTAAGAAAGTGTGTTTACAAGATTACTTTCCACCCTCACCTATCTCTGAGAGAATAATGGGTAGTGGAACGACCAGGTGAAATTATTTTCTGAAAGGCAAACGTCCAGACTACATTTCAGTAACAAGATCTAGACGAGAATCTACTTTTATCATGGACAAAGAAATTGTTGAAGATAAGTAAATTTGTGCGCCGTTTCTACGTAGGAACAGAGGGACCAAACAGATCAATCACTTATCTCGAGGAAGCGCGCGACTTACGCGACACCCCGTATACCTACGCACCGCTCGGCTCGTCGGGGAGAGCGCAAACTCGCATTTGTACTTCGTATTCAAAGTTTACCCCGCAACTCGAGAGTTCGATTCAAAGTCGCGCGGGCGGAAAGGATGTGTGTACCCGCCGCCCCAGCTGCGTTACGATCCGCATTATCTCCGCTCCAGCGGACGCGAGGACCGGCGTCTCAATGTCGCGCGCACGTACGTACGCGCGTCGTCATTACGTTCCGTCCACGAACGCAAAAGTATCATCGTCCCGCCCTTTGATGTGCATCCCCGTTGTCGCGCTTCAAAGCGCGAGTAGCTAGCTAGGTATGTACGCGCGCGCCTTCTCAGGCCAGCACAGCGGGACGATAGCTCGCGGTCGGATATTTTTCACCAGGCCGGGCGCGCATTTGCAAATGAGATATCTCTCGATCCGCTTCTTCACGCTCTTTTACGACGCCGGCGTAGAGTCCGCCCGCGATTTTACGCCCGAACGTACTGACGACGTGCGAAGCCGCGAACGAGCGGAATAACATATCGATGTGTACGCCGCTAAGTTGAATTCTATGCTGCGTGCAGGGAGGAAGGTGTACGTAAAGCGCGGATCGTAGAGAGTGATGGAGCCGGGGGGG